TGAGATGTTATCTCAGCCCTCATTTTATCCGCTTTGTCTTGCACAGCTTTCACAGTCTTTGTGACGTTCTGTGTAAGCTTCTGCTTAGCTCGTGATAAAGTGACCAAAACTTGTTCAAGTCGTTTGATGTCCGTAGTGAAATCTTGACACATATCTTTCAGTGACTGTTTGTATTTGCTAGAAGCCAATCTAGAGTCAATGTAGTGATGTTTTGGTTTACAGTGGTCTACTGCAGTACAAGCTCGGCAGATTAACTCTTCACATGTCTCACAATAAAACCATTTAACTTCACCCTCGTGTTTCTGGCATTTGTACTGATCTTTTGATGTTTGTTTCACTGAAGAAGCCAGCTTTTCTTGGCGTGAGACCTCATCAACTATTCCCATCAAATGGAAATTTGTTTTCAGTCCTTGAATGCGTGTCTTTGGAAGTACCGTCTTCTGTCGACACAAGGGGCAAGGAACTTTTGCCTGACCTCCATAGCTAGTAGTGTAGTATTGCTCCAGACATGCCTCACAAAAACTGTGGTGGCAATCCAGTATCTTGGGCTGTTTATATTTTTCATGGCAGATATCACACTCGAGGGAACTTAAGATATTTGGAGCTGAAGCCATTATTATCTGTATGCAAATAGTATTCAAAATGAAAATGGAATGGTTAATACAAAGATGTAACTTCTTTTATAAATTTTATACTTAAATGCTGCAAAGTCCATGTGAGTTTTACTGAGGAACAAAATAATATTTCTGGGTTTTTTTTAATGCTTTTTTATGTCCAGACAAAAGTTCCACTTTTAAACAAAGGTGAAATATTGCTCCCTCCTTTAAAATTCCTCACTCAATTGGAAGAGCTCTAACAACACATCTTTAATAATCTTCTGAAATGATTGAAAGTCTTTAATGGACAACAATGTATTTTAGATCACTGTGTTTGCCCACTCAATACTGATTAAGTTTTGTTGGAGCATTACTACATACACTTCTACGTACTTTGTACACTTCACATCTTGTAGTCTAAAGACAATTGAGATTCCTACGCTTGTAAGGTAGCCTTGAACTTTATTAGGAATAATTTACAGACAATATTAATTCTTTATTTTTACCTCTGTTATCTTCCTTGCAAGAAATTCACTTAAAGATGTAGATTTGCCACTTGTACAGAGAGAAACTGTCCGAAGTTTTCAACTTTGATTTAAAGAGCACAAACTGTTAAGGCTTTTGATGAGGCGGATCTGGTAAAGATGGCGCTGGACAAACACAGCATCGTCATTGAGTCACGTGACACGGTTTATATATAGAGCATGGGATTTTTGGTTTTTGCTTTATACATGTCACACACGTACATATCTGTTATCTGTGTACATATTCACTAGACACTTGAGTTTTGAACCTTATTAGATAAATGTATGCATACTATCTTGATGTAGGCCTTCATGATCGATGCACTTTGTTAATTTTAAATTGCATACACCCAGTGGTGTAGCCGGGGGGGGGGGGGGGGGGGGGGGCGGGCAAGGGGCCATTTCCCCAACCCCCACCCCTTCCATTTATTATTGTCTGGCTAACACTGTTATCCACCACTTAAATGAGCATTGCGTAGTCCTAACGACTTAAAAAAAGTCTTGCTATTGTCTTACAATACATTTATAAACACCAGACATTGCATCAACGACACCATGAATCCAAAAATCCAAAAATTTTCCTGGCCCCGGGCAGGAGCACTCCAGGATTTTTAAAAAGGGGGGGGGGGGGCACAAAAACTGTGTGCGCTTTGCACACATAACCAGACCAAAGCGCGAAATCCCTTTCGGGCGGGGTTGAGGGCGCTGGAAGCTCTACAATTTTAGATGTTCTCTCCTACATTATGAGTATTTTAAGCCATTAAGAGCAAATTCACAATGTTTATTTTTTAATTTTAATAACACTAATTTTTTTCTATCAAATATAGAATTTAAAGTCACTGTTGATGTTAGTTGAAAATTAGAAGGTGCTGATGACAGCCACCAGGTGAAAAAAATGAACATGTGATATTTTGCAAGGTAGCATAGCGAGCGAGCCAAAAAAATTAAGGTTTACTATCAAAACATACATTTCTACCTAGAAATTTGCTTGCGCGTTCACGCCCCACTACGGCTGAGCAACTCAACCGGCCCAGAAAATTTCTCCGTCCCAATTCCTCTGAAAAATGTTGTATAACTTATAAGACTGCTGAGTATTACCTTACGAATAGTCTTTGCAAACAAAAAGAAGAAATAAAACTTACCGATTTCAAAACCATCTCAATTGTCATAAAAAGTTTGATCCCGTAAGTTTTGGATCAAATCTCCCTGGCACGAATATTAGGCGATCAATTTTGCATGTGAGGTTGTGAACTCCTGTATGGTTACTTTATGCAATTTGCAAGAAGAAGGCTATTTCATGGTATTTGGCCCACGAAACTAGTGGGCACGCGGCAGGGCGCGCTGCCACCGAGTCAGGTTAGTGTATACATTACATACAATTCAAAGGAAGCGCGTTGTGTGTGCAGCGCAGGAGTTCATACATAGCGTGTGGGGCAATAGGAATCAATCCATACACACAGTTCACGTTCAGCGTGCATTAATTAGCATGTACCGGTAAATAACCACAACTGTATGATAGTTATGGTCAAAGAGATTGATTTGATGACCGCCCGTCCGCCCACCATAATGATGACTCAAAAAACGAAAAAGATAGCCATGTTCTCAAAGGGATGGATTTAATGCCCACCCGCCCTAAGATGACTCGTTAAAAAAAAAAAAAAAAACAGTTGCGAAAAGGGGGGAAGGGCACGGGCCAGGTATGCCCCCATCTGGATCCGCGCATGCTGGGCACCACGCCGTAAGGGCGTTCACATATACAGATGATAAGAAAGGTCCCGGTTTGTAAAGGCTGGTCATGCTTGCCCCCTCCCCCCCCCCCCCCACCCCACCCCGGTTCCAAATTCCTGGCTACGCCCGTGCATACACCTTAGCATCCATTCTATTCCATTTCATTTCTTTTGGACCCATGATTCCATTCCTGTTTATTCTTAGGTGTGACCTCAGTTATTATTGAAGGAATTGAGGAGTCTTTGGTTCATATCCTTCTGCTTGTTTTCTTTTCTATTGGCCCCTGGTTCGATTCCTGTTTATTCCCAGGTGTGATCTCAGTTATCCTCGAAAGAATTGAGTAGTCAATTCACTGAAAGACAATTTGTAAGAGATTGTTAGAGGTTTTCCACTTTTATGATGCAAGAAGTGTAAATAGTCATAACCTTTAGAGGGGGTGGATCCCAAATCTGAGACATGTACATTGTACAGTTCCTTGTCTGTTTTATTTTTGCTGAAATGTTTACTCTACACTTCAGTTTGTACCTTGGACCTGAGATAAGTTGATTTGGAATACTTGCATACATGTACATGTGCACGCCATCAGGTTGCAGACCATAAATGGCTATAGATCCCAGTAATAGATTTCATCATCTTTTATATTCTGTTCAATCATTTTTGGTTAATTTGGTGACTTTTGTAAGGAATATCCATCCAAAGATGATCACTCCAAAAGTATAGTCCGGAAACCCATCGCCATTTTGAAAACTGATTCCTATGCTGCATTGCAAAAAAGAGCAATTTTAGGGCATTTAATAATTCATCCAACTTACACAGATATATGAACTTGCAGTCCTGTTCACTGCTTCAAACTTTTGTGTTTTTTTTACAAACCTTCAAGTTCATGGCCCACAAAACTTGAAGCAAATTTTGAGGCAATGTTTGGGGCTCACTGCAAATATATAATTTTCGCTTTCTTTTTAAAGGCCAGTGTTGGCCAGTCGCCTCCGACTGAAAATTGGGCATCTGGAGAAAAGCACAGCCATATTTTTTATACCATGATTAGCTGGAAGACCACAAAGTCTTTTTTCCCCCGCGATTGTGTGCGTATTTTTTCACCATTTTTTTTCGGGAGTGGCTGTTAATTGTAATGTCCCTTGGAAAGCGCATAGCAAGTTGTCAAATGTAGCCATGATATACGTTTTGAACAGCGCCCCATTGAATTCTTGTTGTAATGAAAGTTCTGACTTGACAAACTATTGATAATAATAAAGAAGTTTTTAATTAAAAATGCAAAGAGTGTTAACAGTGGTAGCTTTTGAGGGGGCGGATTCCAGAGAGATGGCACTGGCAAACACAGAATCATCATCAAGTAACGTGACATGGTTTATATATAGAGCTTGGGGAGTTTTGGGGACAAGTGCTGGATGCAACCGACATGTACAGTTCATTATCTTGTTTGTTTGCTGATATGTTTACTCTACACTTGAGTTTGTATCTTGGACCTGAGATAGGTTAATTGGTCTTTTCATATTTGGTGAAATAATATGTTACAGTTGTATACTCTTTATACTCTTTTTGATTCAAAATTGTCAACCCCAAAACAAAATGTTCATGTATTGAATGAATTGCCTTGAAAAGAAACTGACTCTATCACATTTTTCCAAACAAACATACTTTGTGTATTACTTTTAGACAAACTAATTCAGACTTGTTTTTTGCTCTTTGCATAATATTGTGTCAAGTGTAAATTAAGACCAATGTGCAAGTGAACATGTTACAAGTTACATCTACTCCCCTAATCCCCCATTGCTCACAGTAAAAAGTAACACTCCTTCCAAAAAGCCATCTGATTTCACATTGGTCATGTTATCACAATCAGGTTTTAGAATATTTCAGAAAATGTTGATGATAGAATAAAGGGAAAGGAAGTCACTGTCTGATGCAGTATTTGTGGAGAGAGTGCAATATAGGTTGAATCAATTATTAAATATTATTATTAGACAGTCACTTCACTTGGTGTATCTGCAAACCTTCTCCTATAGTTGTACTCGCAACTATGCAACACCTTAAAAATTACAAAAGCCTACCAAATAATCATTAATTGCATGCATTATAGGTAATTCTCTCATTGATTTTGAGATTTTTATATTTTTAATTTCATTTTGAGCAGCTCTCTCATCTCGTTGAGCCTTGCTTCATTGACCAACCGCAACGCCCAGTCCGATCACCATGGCAACTGAACAGCCTCAGGCCCTGCCTCCAGCAGCCATTGGTCAAGATCGTCACTTTAATACCAATTCCAATCAGCAATGAGCATAGTCGAGGGCAACGCAAGACACCTGTCAGCTTTGTTGTTGTACTCGTCAGTGATCTGGGTTACCCTGTTGGTTCACCAGGGAGTAGCATCTGGGCTTATACACCAGGTAAGCTCAGTTTTCATTTACCACACAACTTTCATTAGATGCATGAAAATTGGCTATATCTAGAGCATCACGATAATTAGGAGTGTGAAATAGTCTCATATTTTCTTGGCTCTGTACTTTAAGATCCTAATTGACGAACTTAGCTAAAAGATCCTTGTTGATTAAAAATGCTGTAAAAACCAACTCAGAAGGAAACGATAACATTTAAGTTCAGGCCATGAAAATATAATTTAAAAATAGATGACTGTGATTTCTAAGATACCCAGTGGACATACAGGACATGCGAATTAGCAAATATTAGTTGTCATCCGTTCAAGAGAATATTTTCCGTATGAATGGCAGATTTAAAATAAACTTGTTTTCTTCTGAATTTTTCCCCAGGGAGCAGTGGTGACTGGATCCCAAGTAGCAACTTAGAGGACATACCAGGCACAGCAGCTAACAGGCGATGCCTAACTGAAGAGAGGATGGCTTCCTAATGAACAAGTAAGCATCTCACCCCTCCACCAGCCCCACTACACACTCAATCAGCATGAGTTCAGGACTTGAAAACAGTTCACAAAAACACAAGGCAATTCAAGTTGGTTCCAGAGTACACACAGTCCGATTCAATTGATTTAGCCCATTCATTGGTGTTACAGGGTAATCCTATACAACAGCACTGCCCAGCTTACAAGTGACTGTAAGTTGATCTGTGAGGTACAAAGAGGACTGTAGGCTGGCCCTCTGGAACCAGCAAAAACTGAACAGCGATCACTGAGGAAACCAAAATAGAGAAATCAAAACCTCATCAAGATATATCTTGTGTATCTCAAGACATTACTGAAATGTCATCATGCTTGCGAGTTCTAACTTTATTCCCCTGGTTATTTCCTACAGACACCTGTCAGCCGGTTTGGTGAGCAACATGAGCCAATGTCTGGCATGCATCATAACATGGCCATGGAAGATGGGGGAGGGGTGACAGCTCATGGAAAGGCAGGAACGGTCTGGAACCCTGTAGCCGCCATGCAACTTCATGGCACCATTCCTAAGGTGGGTCCTGTCTCAAAGCTTAAGTCCGTGTCAAAATTATCAGGATATTTGTGAGGCATTCTGGTAAAATGAGACGAAACTGGGCACAGGCCGTAGTGAAGGGAAATGCAAGAAAAAATGATAGGGGGATTTTTGGGGTTCTTTTGCTGATTTTAAGAGTGACATTCCTATAAGTAAGCAAAACAGGTAGTTTAAAAATCATGGAATACAAGAGTTTCTTAGATAAGATAATTGGCATCGTTCATTTTCGTGAATACAAAACTCGAATTTTTACAGCCAGGCCTTTTTCTCAGTATTTTGCTATTTTTGCATGTCGATAAAAGCAAAGTTTAAAGTGAGCCATAACTTGTCAATGGAATATCTTATTGAAGTTAAACAAACAGTATGAATTGTAAGGAGAATTTTATTCTTTTTCCTAATACAACCTCTCCCCAGTTCTGTCTCATTTTGCCAGAGCACCTCACATGGTCGTCAGTAATTAACACGTATCTATCAGCCGCTTTAATATAAAGGCGCATTATTGCTAGCTTCAGCAATTGGGAGACAGTTTCAAAACCTGTCATTATTTCTTAACATAAATTCCTTGAATAGTTCCTGCAGAATCGTTCTTCAGGCCAGGTTCGGTGTATTCTTGATGTAGTGAATGCCCAGGTTTTGAAGTTGTTAAACGTTTGAGGTCTAAAGTACCTGCTCAGAACTATACAAGCATTGAGTGGCTCAGAGTGGAATGGGTGAAATATTATCGCCTGGTATAATCGCTGGACAATAGCAGAGTGAAGAGGGAAATCAAGATTTTACCGAGCGATAATACTCCACCCATTTCACAATTTAAAGCCACTCAATTTTTGTTTTATACACCTGACATATAGATCCTTGTCATTTGATTTGTGTTAAGAAATGGTGGGAAATGTATTTCTCTCTTCCAAACAACCCCTTCACAAAACGTTTGAACCCAACTCTGATACTACTGGCTCTTACATGTAGGAACAATACACGCTTATCGCAACGTTCAACGCGCACACACGCAGCATGCAGCATTTTGCAAGCAAAATCCAAGCAATGGAACGAGAATGATCCTAGCTGTTCAATAGTGTTTCCCATTTCCCATGGGCTCATGGGACTTTTTGAGCCCGGCTTGAATCGGAGCAATAATGGATGTCACGTGATGTGAGTTCCACCAATCAAATGACAAGGATCTATGTATTAGTTATACAAACCGTCGGGTGCCCGGCAGAAGGCTGGCTAATGAGCGTTCTGATGCGAAAATCATTTTCAAGAAAATTGCATTGAAAGGTTCCATTGTTCCCCTGTGCGTTTGAATCAAATGTTTTAAATTTCATTCAAATGGAGGCAGTTTTCTGCATATGCCCTTTGCTGGGAACATTTTGGTCATTACGCGCTATTGCATAAGGGCATATGCACATATGCCCTTCTGCCGGGCAAACGACGACCTTAACTAAAATATTTTTAGGGGAAACAGAATAAGTGATAAGGCGTGTTGATTCAGAGTACTGCAAAATAATTAAACATTCCCCTCATCAATGTCAATTTTTTGTTGTTTGTTTTTAGTTTGCAGGGATCGGGGTCCTAAAATAGTTGGACAAAAATTACACGTTCTGGAATAATATTTTCACATCATTGCATGTAGCTGGTATATCAGTACTATATACACCCCCAGTCACACAGCAAAACAATCCCCGTTTTGTGACTTTCCAAATCTTAACATAATTTTATTAATTTGGAATTTTGTCTTCTATTTTTCCAGGTTTGGGGAGCATGGAGCCAGCTGGTCATGTGACATGAGGACACCTCTCCTTCCATTCCTTATAGAGGGCGCTTTTCGTCACAGCCGCAGCATCCACAAGACATAGTTAAGTTAATTACTTTTCTTAGATGAGCAGCCATAGAGGGCGCCATCATGCTTTTCTGTTTTTTTTCATTGACATATAAACGCATAGACCGCCAGTCAGTCGCTTGAAACTGTGATTTGGTTAAGTCGTTTGTTGACAGCGTGCATAACTACGTGGTGCTGGTTTAATGTGCCAAAACGCTTAGTACGGTACATACATTAAAATACAATTGATAAATTATTTTGGTAAGGGCTGTATTTCTCAAAAGTTGTATGAAAATGTTGAGTACCATATTGTTTTTTATCTACAGAAATCGTATTTAGTTCACAATGGATTTGTTTACAATCAAAAACTAACTTCATAATTGTTTGTTACATGTTTGACTGGAATTCTTCAATAATGTGTTAAAAGGCTATATACCGAGAGCGAATTTGCCCATATAGTTTGATTTTAGTCGGGTGCTTGGTAAATCACGAAATGCTCATGTAGTTCTGAATAGGATCTAGTGGTCTATGCATTTATTTGTCTGTGGGTTTGTTGCCTTACTTGAAAAAAAAAATTGTTGGTGGTATAATTACATAATTAGATGGGGTTACAATCGAGTATAAGCTTTATGTGGCCTTTCTGGTCTCCCAGTACATTTTTTGCACTGAATTTAATCGGGCACACCATTTGCAGTCATCCCGACATTTGAAGAAAAAAATACTTGAAAAAAAATCAGCGTTGCTGAACAACTTTTGGGGCAAGCTGACCATACCAGAAACCAAAGCTTTTTGGGGGCCTTACTGTAAACAAATTGAAAAGTCCTTTTCTTTTTTGTTTGATTTCGTATGTTAAAAGATGATAAGCTACCCTTGTTGAAATATGTTTTGTTGACGTACAATTACAACATAAGGTCAGTGAACCTGGGTGACCTTTGACCTCTGCTGTATCTTGTTAGAATTTCATTTCCATAGAGCTGTAGTAAATTATGAGAGTATTACTCCTCATTCCCTTGCACTCAAAGTTGTCCAAGCAAGATCGATGTGCAAGTCCTGTCGCCAATATGAAATCAATATTTTTGAGTTTT